TGTCCTTTCTCCACACTAGTCTTCTCTCTCTTTCACTCCCAGTAACCCCTTGTGTCTTAGTGGCATTATTGCCATCTTCTGTCTTCCTGAAACCTGTTCTTTTTTTCTTTTTTCTCTTCACTAAAGTCTTTTCATTTTCTTTCTCTCTCAGTAACCCCTTGCTTGTTAGTGTCATTATCACCTTACTTATAACAATATAAATATTAAATAGTTACTGTTAAATCTTTAGATGCCATATAATTACTTAATTTGATTTTGATTATCAGTATTTAAAAATGGGAAAAATATTTGTACATTAACCAGGTAAAGAAAATCAGTAATAATAATATCATTTTTAATAGCAATAATAATGTCCCATAATAGTAGTTACATTTCCATACAGTTTTCATGCATTAAATATATCAACTATTATGGGACAGAGGTAGTACATTATATTATTATACAACTCCTATCCCATAATATTTGTTACATTTACATATATATTTCTGACATTAAATGTATCAACTATTATGGGACAGATGTAGTAAATAATATAATTATACCACCACTTTTTTATTTTTTTGTTTGTTTTTAAATCCAGCATTCATATATTTAACATGAATCACATTCTGTCTAGCCAACGTAAATTTGGTTGGAATAAAATCCAATTTTTTATGACCCTGACTGATTGGTAAAACACGTCAAAATAAGAATTTTTCAAATTAGCTTCTATATTTACCATATTTCTTAAAATAAATGCAAAAATTAATAATAATAATAATAATGTATTATTTTATAAGAATTATTTATTTTTATTCTCCCACAATAATTAATATTGCTTAAGAATGTTTTTGGTGATACTGAAATGCAATATTTTTGGATCAGATACAAAAGAAAATGAGAGAAGAACATTGCTAGCCAATACTAATTTCTTGACCTTCAAGCTGAGTATTTCAGCTTGAAAAGTCTCCACTTATTATATTGGCCTTGTGTAACATTCCCTTGTGGTTGAAATATTGATTTTACTCTTATTTCACTAAGCATCAATTTTCTATTGTTAAAGGTAATGTACACTAAGACATTTCTTTCATTCAAAATTGTTTTTAGGAGACAAATTTTGGCCCTCTTCCTTGGACTGAAACCAAAACTATAGCCATTTTCCCTGTGACTCTACACTGTATATTCACCTACATTTACCTATATCTATATACAATTTCTAATTTATTTTTATCTTAGACTAATGTGTTTCTTTCCTACAACTAAGCTCATCAAGTCTACATTAATTTTTTTTTCATAGGAAGTGTTTTAACAGAAGATGGAAAATGTAACACTGAAACCTGAAGGCACTTAGGGATAGAGAAAGATGCCTTCCAAAAGCTAAGCAAAGTATTAACAGGAAAATTTTGTTAGAAACAAAGAAAAGAGTACTTGACTTTTATGTAATATCAGCCTTCCTATATGGCAGTGAATGCTGGACAATCTCATCACAGACTTATGGCAACAGAAATGTGGTTCTACAGAAGGATGCTGAGAATACCATGGATTGAACATGTGAGCAATGACAAAATTTTAGGTAAAATGGAAACAAAAAAGACATTTATACTTAACATCAGAAAGAGAGGATTGAAATTTCTAGTGCACAAGATGAGGAAAGAGGGCTTGGAAATTTTATATATTCATTCACATTTACCTATACATATATACCATTTCTAATTTCTTTTTATCTTAGACTAATGTGTTTCTTTCTCATAACTTCTCAGCTCATTAATTCTACATGAATTATTTATACTTTACAGTTTTATTTATTAATCTTTGGCTTCTCTGAATTTCTCTCACTTAAATGCTGATTTCTTAATTATAATACAAAATTCACAATTATTTGCACATCATATAAATTAATATTACAGCAGTTTTAAGATGTGTTTTCTTCTGCATTTGTTCATATGCAAATTGTATGTGAATTTATGACTAATAAAAATGTTAAACATACAGCTAATGGTATACTTAGAAGTTCTCAAGCCAACCAAGAAACCCTTCCCAAAAAGAGAAAAAAATTAGAGGGTTTTTGGTCAAATTTTGGGAAGTGGGTCAGGCCAAGAAATTTTCAGCCCACCCTCATATTTACACACTGTTAGTAAACAAATGTGGGTGGTGTAAAGGAGAGCAGCTCAGGTTGAGGAATCAGAGAACTGGGTTCAAATTACAGCCAGGTTTGTTACATTCACTTAAATACAATTGAGAAAGGTATGAATCCATCTCTTCTCACCCCCTCCCCATCCACAGCTATCAAGTTACACAGTAGACAAGATCCTCCTATTAACTTTCATAAAATTTAATAAAACCATTTTTTTTATTTTTGGGATATTGGTGGGGGGGGGGGGGTAATCTATAGTAATATGAAACAAAATATTAAAAAAAAATGTGAAAAGTTTAACTTTTGTCCCCACAAAAAAATGGTGTGTCAAAAAGACAGTTTTTCCCTTGACACCACTATTATTTTGTACTGGATTCACTCCCTCAGTTATTGCAATTACTATCTCACCAAATTCACAAACCAACACTTTAATCCACTTGTTTTTTGTCTCACAGGACAATTCTCTGTGGAGAATTGGAGCCTCAACCTAACCAGTCTGCCTGCTGATAAGTTCTGTATTTTTTAAATCACTTTAACATAATGTTTGTGAAAAGTAACTCTTTGTGAATATTAGAATAATGCTTTCCTCTCTCACTCTCTCTCAATATATATATATATATATATATATATATATATATATATATATATATATATATTATATTATATATTTTTATTATAATAGATTACAATAAAAACATTTTACATCACTACATGAAAACTTTTATGTTTCAAGACTTTAATTGTTTCTCATCAGGTGATAGTGGATAACAGATAATAAAATAATAATAATGTTCTTTTTTTATTATATGTTACCTACCATCACCTGATGAGGAACAATTAAAGTTCTGAAACATGAAAGTTTTTGTGTAGTGATGTAAAATGTTTTTATTGTAATCTATTATAATTAAAATATTTGAATGATATTATATTTTGCAACGTGTTTGTATTGAGCACTTTTTAAAAAGAAAATGCTAAGAACTGTGGATTCTAACCCAATCTGTTCTTTCTCTTTCATAAGATATATATATATATATATATATATATTAATTTATTTGTTTAAACATTATTTTTTAAATGGATACTCATATTTGAGTAGATGCTCTGTTTTTATTTATTTATTAAACAGTATATTTATTTATTTATGTCTACCAGCCTGAATACACTATTTACATTATTCAGACTATTGTCCTCATCTTTGATGCCATATTTATTACAATGTTTCGGCTGTTGTATGCTCCAGCCTTCTTCAGGTGGTTGGAATGACAAACTGAACCCTTTAACCACCTGAAGATGGCCAGAGCATACAATGGCCGAAACGTAATTAATATGAGGACAAAGATGAGTACAATAGTCCAAATAATGTAAATAGTGTACATAATACCTCATCTCAGAAATATAGACAGATACCAGCCTCAATATTCAAGAAATCTTGTTAGAAAAATATGCTTCTTAAATATTCAGGCCAGTAGATGTGAATAGATAAATATACTGTTTAATAAATAAATAAAAACAGAGCAGCTACTCAAATATGAATATCCATTTAAAAAATAACCTTTAAACAAATAAATTAAAAATCTGTTGGATTTAATCCGTTTATGGGAGAAAATGATATATAAATTTTTATATTCCAGAACAATGTTAGGAAAATCAATGACAAAGTGAAAAAGTTTGTGGTTTAGCACTTCATCAAACTAAAGTGATCTTTATGTTGATGTAACTACACTGTTGCATGAAGGAGAGGGGATGTATTAGTTTCAATGTTTTAAATTATTTTTTTTAAATTTAAAATAATAAAATTTCAGTGTCTCTGCTCCTTCATGCACATGTCATTGATTTTTCCAATATATACATATTATGTAGTTACATTTTTTCAAATATCATGTTGGTTTTTAAAATATCATCTCTTCATGCATCAGTTTGTGTTGTTGTGGTATTCTTAAACCAAAATAGTGCAAAAACATCTTCCACCATCATTATCATAACAAAGACACCGCCATCTGGCATGACCAGTGCAAGGGAGATAATTATATCCGTGCATTGATAATATTAAAAGTGGCATACATTAAAGACCAAATACAGCCACTCCTAACTTAATGACCGAGTTCTATTCCAAGTACCTGCTTGCTAAACAAGAAGTTGTCCTTGATTGCTATTTCAAGAATCCTATGTGTATAAAAGGTTTGTATGAAATCAGCTTCACATCCTGTGTATAATAAGCTTGTATGAAACCAGCTTCACATCCTATATGTATAATAGGTTTGTATGAAACCAGCTTCACATCCTATATGTATAATAGGTTTGTATGAAACCAGTTTCCTATATGTATAATAGGTTTGTATGAAACCAGCTTCACATCCTATATGTATAATAGGTTTGTATGAAACCAGCTTCACATCCTATATGTATAATAGGTTTGTATGAAACCAGCTTCACATCCTATATGTATAATAGGTTTGTATGAAACCAGCTTCAAATTGTCTTAATGCTCTTTTAAACCATTTATAACATTTCTAATTTATTTCTAAATGTTTAGAGAGTATCATAGTGAACAATAAATGCAATAAACAAATTTGAAAACCAGTTTTACATTCTATTTATTACTTCGATTTGTATCAAAGTAAATACGAGAAATTGTTTATTTACTTTGATTCATTTTGAAGAAACAGAAAAAAATCCTGATTAAAGTTTACAAAAAAACTGACAATACTGTCCAGCAGGATTTTTTAATTCTTTATTTTATAAGATTTTATAGTTAGTCATAATTCCAGAGATTATTAACTTGTAATAAATCATTAAGTCAGCAGTGACTATATAACACACTTGATATAATGTATAGAAAGATAATGTATTTTAATTATTTTTATTCTGTTTTTGCATTCAATTCTAGGGTCCAGCTTTGAGAACATGGTATTTGACAATGGAAAGAATATTTGGTGCCAGCAGAAACACAGCTCTCCTGAAAGTAGCAGCAGACCAGGTGAAATAATAATCATTATTCTCTAAGATCTCACTTTTTTTTGTCTCAGGAAGTGTTTTAACAGAAGACAGAAAATGTAAAACTGAAATCCAAAGGCACATAAGGATAGAGAAAGATGCCTTCCAAAAGCAAAGTAAAGTATTAAGAAACAGGAAAAGCTTGTTAGAAACAAATAATAGAGTACTTAACTGTTACGTAATATCAATATGGCAATGAATATTGAGCAATCTCACTCATTACAGACCTGAGGCAACAGAAATGTGGTTCTACAGAAGGATGCTGAGAATACCATAGAGTCAACATGGAGCAATGGCAAGGTTTTCAAGAAAATGGAAATAAAAAGGACATTCATACTTAGCATCCAAAAAAGAAATTTCTAGAGCATATAACAAGGAAAGAAGGCTTTGAAATTTTGACACTCACAGGAGATACTAAGACAAACAGAAAAGAACCTACCTAACAAGCTTATGTAAGTGGCTGTCAGAACAGGGATTAGGAGAGATAACAATAGACAAAATTAAGATAATGTGTAGAGCTATGATTGTCCATGTCTTGAAGGGACAAGTCACATAGAAAAAGAAAACTTGTATGTCCATTATTCAAGTATTAAAACATAAAAAGATCTTGTTAGAAACAAAGTAAAGGGTGACAAACTGACTTGTCATTAATCTTCCTATATGGCAATGAATGCTGGACAATCTCCTCACAGATGAAGAAGAGACTTGAAGCCACAGAAACAATGAAAAGAGTACTGAACTGTTACGTAATATCAGTCCTTCTATATGGCAATGAATGCTGGACAATCTCCTCACAGATGAAGAAGAGACTTGAAGCCACAGAAACAATGAAAAGAGTACTGAACTGTTACGTAATATCAGTCCTTCTATATGGCAGTGAATACTGGACAATCTCCTCACAGATGAAGAAGAGACTTGAAGCAGTAGAAACAAAGAAAGTGGAAACTAAAAGGACACTTATACTTAAAATCGGGACTAATCTTCTTTTATGTGTCATGTACATTCATGACATAGACGATCATGGCGCTCCACAACTTCCTATCTTGTGTGGCTCTTAGCAGTTTTCTGCCTTTGCTAAAGGTCCTACTCCTGTTCCACCATCTATTCACACAAGATCATCTCTGCCTTCCCCTGTTTCTCTTGCCCTTAATATGCCACATGAGTGTTAAGTTTTCTAAGCTCTCTTTCCTCATTATGTGTCCAATGAATTTCTTTTCCTGACTCTGAGTAGACATTTTCTTTCTGTTTCTATTTTTTAAAGACTTTCTTGTTGCTCCGTCCATGGAATGACCAGTATTCACTGTCATATAAGAGAATGGATAACACATAGTAATCTAGCACTCTTTTCTTTGTTTCTCATGAAATCTTTCCATTTCTCGGCACCTTGCTTAGCTTTTGGAATGCTTCTTTCACTTATTCAATGTGTGCTTGAATCTTAGTGTTGCATTTTCCATCCTCTGTTAAAACGTTTCCTAGATATTTGAATTTCTGCACCTGCTTGATGATTATATCTCCGGTTCATAATTCACATCTTGGGCGTTTTTCTTATTGGTGACCATATTTCCTATCTTATTACAGTTGATGTCTGTCCTTTTTTTTCTCTCACTTGAAATTTAAGTTTTTTCTTTTGCCTAAAAACAGAATATTGAAATTAAGAAATGATTTTAATAATCAATAAAAATTTAATTATAAACAAAGAAAAGAGTACTGAACTGCTATGCCATATCTATCATCCTATATGACAGTGAATATTGGACAATTTCCTCACAGATGAAAACGAGACTTGAGGAAACAGAGATGTAGTTCTACAGAAGGATTCTGAGAATTCTATGGACTGAACACATGAACAACATGTGCACAACATATACATTGAGTGCTGGGAAAATATATTTTGGATAAAAATTACAAAATCATCAAATTTTTTCTCTATTACAAGAAATATTTAATATACTTTATTAATAAAATGATTAAAGTTAGTCAGGGAAGGAAGTGATATATCAGTAATATAACCAAAAATATCTAAAGCTACCCATATACCAGGTGTAACAGCAAAATTGTCCATTTGCTAGATTAAGCTTTGAATCATTGTGTCTTAGAAATGATTAAAGATATCTTACTGGAATTCTCCACAGTTTTTATAACACGGTTGGACTCTATCTTGAGCAATAAGAATGCATAATTACTCTTTAAGCTTAACAGAAGAATTATGATGAAATTGATCATAAATGAAAATGACATGTTCATCATTAATTAATCATAGCTAAGGATTGGAAGCTCATGAAGAATTGAAATTAAGTTCAAATATATATATATAAATATATTATTCCAGGATCACTTTCCAACTCATTCAAGATGATTTTCGCACCCTCTAACCTTCTAACTTTATGTCCTGGAGTAACAAGGTACCTCACAGATTTCACATATGACTTCATTTTCAAGTCTTTTTTCACTGCTCTTTGGGCAGTTGTAGCTGAAATTCCTCTCTCACGTGCCAAACGTCTTATGAATTGAGTTTAATCTTTTATAATTGATCTCTTTAGCTCTAAGTTGAAATGATGATCCCTCTTCCCGTTGTGACCTCCTGATTCAGATTTCCTCTCTACTGTTTCATCTTTTTTAAACTAATTCACTGTTTTTTTGAATGGACTTTGAAGATGGAAGTCAGAGTATGAATGTTGGTACCATTACTGAAGACCTGAATGATTTTTTTCTTCTTACCATTGCTCAGTTGAGAAGACAGTGGGACTGACACAAAATGATTTTAACCTATTCTCTATCTAGCTGAATAACTCAAAGAGGTTTTCAATGATTCTTATAATAAATGCTATCAAGATGGCTAAACATCTTATCTAAAAACCTAGAAAAAAGAAACTCAGTTAGTTTAGTGATTTTTTAGATATTAAACATTTTGTGGAATGGACAATTATCCCATGCTGTTGCACGATTTCAACAATTTTGCTGTCAAACCTGGTATATAAGTAAATTTTAAGAAAATTAATGAGAAAGTATAAAAAGGTTTTTGTTTTATGAAGGAGAGGGTATGCTGAAATTTTAAACTTTTAAATTTAATTTTTTTTTTATTGTGTTTGAGTGTATACGCTAGCCAATTTAATTTAGTTTCTTTTTTTTGTTGTTTTTTTTACTTTTTTTTTTATTGAATATCAACATTATGATAATAAAAGAACTGCCAAAAAAGGGGAAATGGAAGAACCTGGTATGTAAAAATTTATATATCATGTTCTCCCATATATATATATATATATATATAGCTTTGCAAAGTTAGTAGTAGTAGGAAATAATGTTGGATAAAGAACCCATTGATTTTTTAGAAATTACTTTATATTTTGGATACAAAATCTGAATGAGACAATGTAGATTTTTCAAAAAGGTAAGTGAATATTACTGTGCTCTGAGTGCCAAGTGAACTAAAGCAGTCTGAATCAAATGATGGTTTCTCCTACCAAAGGGAACACAGGTTTTGATTCTGTTTGAGAATGCAGTTTCTTTATTAATTCCCTCAAATGTTAACTTTTCAATAATATCAACTTTGAACATGGCCACAGTGTGCTGACCATGTTTGGAAAATAAAACATTCCTATAACTCTAGATACATACCTTAAACAATCCATACATTCAGTTAAAAGTAAAAATAAAATCATCCTTAATAATGGCTAAAAATGTAGCTGAAAGCACTCAGACATATAAAACATTCAAACAAATTCTACATAATTTATTTCCAGAAAAGGAGAAAATCATAAGAACACAAAAAATTAAATGAGTCTAGTACCTTGTCAGTCATTTTTAATAAAAATATACATATATATATTCAAATATATATTATTAAATATAACAGACAATGAATATCTATTATGTTTGATTATGAGCCATACTAAGTTTCGTATAGTTGCTTTAATTTGTGGAGAAAATAAAGACAAAAAGTGTCTAACATTTGGATTTTTTATTACTTTTTTAGATCAAGGAACAGCATAATAAAAAAAAATATCCAAATGTCTCCCAAAATTAAAGCAACTATACGAAGCTTAGAACAGCTCATGATAAACATAATAGATATTCGTTGTCTGTTATATTTAACAATATATGTTTGAATAATGATCTGCTACCCCAATACACTATATATATATATATATATATATATATATATATATATATATATATACACACACACACTAGAATTCAAAAGTTTGAGGCCACCTCTGGTAATTTTTTTAAATTGTCCCCAAAAGTAGTTATTTTGTACTTTAAATAAGAAAAAATTATTATACATGTTTAAAAAAGTGAAACATGATTTTTTATTAGAAATTTCATCATGACAAAAAGAACAAAAGCATTTTAAGATGAAATTTTGCTCACATCAAAATATCCTCCTTTAGTCTTGATTATTGCAGCATAAATTTTTGTCATTTGTTGAAAAAGTTTTTTGATAATTGATTCCATTCTTATTTTGATGATTCAGAGCTCTTTTACATTTTTTTTTCTGGCAAGTTCTGGCAGTGGCTTCAAACTTTTGAACTGTAGTGTGTGTGTATGTGTGTGTGATTGTTAGAGTAAGTTAAACTTTTAACATATTTGTTTCATAGATCCTACTTAGATTATATAAACAATTTATCAAATTAGGAGGTTTAATCTCTTTTTTTTTTTAAATCTGGCAAAGATCACAAGGTATTTGTTATTTTTTTATCAGAAAAAACGCATCTGCCTTTGTCAGTTTACTGTATATGTCGATCCGGTTTATCATCAAAATGAAATGTGTCATCATGAAAAAAAAAGACAATTGAATATCTTGAAGAGCTAGGTCACCTATTCTAATGATTGACCAGCTTCCTGAGAATTGCAGGTGGAAATTTAACTTCATTTGCTTGAGAAAAGAATCTGTACTTTATTAAAAAAAAAAAAAGAAAAAAGAAAAAGAAAAGAAAACTAATTTCCATATTTCAAGTTTATAAGAAAAATTGTTAGAAATAATAAATATGATTTTATCAAACATGGTAAGAAATATTGTAACTAAACATTTGTATCAGTCAAAACCACATGTTAAAGTATACTGTTTCTCTTGTCCTGCAGGCAGTAATTTCAAATAATAGATTCAGGTGAGACAAAAATAGATCACCTTGTAACAGTTATTTAATGCCTTTTTTGAAGTAAATAATTACTTACATGATACTTACACACTTCCTATTTCTTTTTTGGGTACAGATTAAACCAAGAAAAGTGCACATGTAACAAGCAAATTGCTATTTTCTGTGTTTTTACCCTTCTATTAAAATAAATTAATCTTGCTATCAGCTGCAGAACAATTATTTATTTAATGCTTTTCTTGGCAATTTCTTCTTTTAACCATTCAATTTCAACCTGTCACTGAACATTTTACAACATTTTATTTCTTCTTGAATTGTGCTCAAACTGTAACATGCCATTTTTTTTGTCTGAATTTCTGAGTTAGTTATTATTATTTACATTCAGACTCGTTCTCATCTTTGAGGCACTTTGACATGGTGTAATGGTTAACAAGCTTGTCTCACTAGATCAATCAAGACTAAGTAGTGAGTTCAATCGTCACTGGGTGCTCCATACTTTTGGCCTTATGCCACATTTAAGCTATACTTAGTAAATTGCCATGGGCACTTTGATGCGATGTAATGGTTAGTAATCTTGTCTCGCTAGATCAATTACGACTAACTAACTAGGTGCTCCATACTTTTGGCCTTGTGCCACATGTAAACTATGCTTCATAAATCAAAATTGCTCTCATCTTTGTTGTTGTTATTACATTTGGGTCGACATATCTTTCATCAGGTGTATATTGATCCAGGTAACTTCCAGGTAATTCTGAACTGAACCCTTTATTTAATATACTGGGGGTAGACTGTTGCTGTTCCACTGTGGCTCAATAGCTTAGTGGATTAAAGTGTTGGTTTGTGAATTTGGTGACATAGTAATTGTGAGTTCAATCCCCGGGGAAGTAGCATGTTCTTGGACTCCTGTTGCATGCAGCCAGCAATGAATGATCACAGCTCGGCTTTTTCAGTTGGCTGGCAATTGCCAATGGTTTCAGTTCAGCAATGAAAGACTTCAACACAGAATTTTAATTTAATTATTTTTATCAATCATGTCAACATCTACATTATCTAACTATCTAGTAGGGGTCACCCCTCCCCACGCAGTGGGGTCCCATTTCGGACACGAAAGAGAACACATCTATATCACTTGACGGGTAAGAAACAACTCCGTGAAACATTTTCTCCTCTCTCTTTCCCATGCTAGCTCAGCCAATCAAAACTGACTTTCCTATTATGATTCACATCTGACCCCAGCTGTCTATTTCTGGAAGTCAGAGCTGAGATACACTTCCTATAAAAATAATAGTCTGCTAAACTATTATTTAACACTCAGTAGAAACAGGGTAAGTAATAACTGAGCAGTACTAAGAACTAAATGAGATATCCCTAATTATAGGCAGTGGAATGAGAAAAGTCTACTCCTGTAGATTAAATGAAGGGTTCAGTTCATTATTCCCTGTAGGTTACTGATATTGATATACATTTGATGAAGGCCAGAGGGGACAACAACTGAAACATTGTTATAACAACAACAAAGATAAAAACAATAGTCCAAATGTAAATAGTAAAAATAATGCCATGTTCTGTAAAACACTGTTTTCTCTTTGACATGAAATCTTTGAAAACTTGTAAATTCACTTTTCAGGGTTTTTGTTTATTACAAAGGTGTTTTGATGATGATTTGAACAAAATAAATTGAATTGAAAAATGTCATTTTCTCTGTGTTGATGACACTTTTTGGTATGTTTATAAAATTTTACCTAATTTGTTAGATAAGGAACTATTATTATATGCTTTTCAACATGGACTAGCATTTTCATCTTAGTACCAAAATGAGTATAAATGAGGTGAAGAAGGAAAGGAAAATAACAATAAAATTTTACCTGTCAGCTTCATATGACATTTAAATAAGAGTTATTTTCTTTTTTTATTATCTACCTTTGATATATTTAGCTCAAAAAGTTGAATTTTTTTTTTTATTGAATTCAAATCTTAGTTTTCTATTTTATAATTAATCTCCCTCTAAGTACTTTCCTTAGTGACATAATCCTACAGTAACCCTACAGGCTAAGTGGGGTGGGAGATGTCAGTTTATCACTGGGCAACCTTTGTGACCCCACTTTTAAAGGATCTTATAGTCTTTGCAAACGAGTGAGCTTGTCTCAGTATCTGCCCCCAACCAGGTATGATGTTTCGGACATCTGAAGTTCTGCTGCTTTGATTCCTGGATTAAAACCGCATTTAGTAACCCTCTACCTTGAGTGGTTCTTGGGCCTTGTATTGGGTGAAAAGTAATTAAAAAAAAAAAACTTGCCATCTTAAGTGTTGCGTAAATTTTTTAGAAAAGTTAATGATATTTTTTTAATACATCCAATAATAAGTTTTGAATTGCTTTTTTTCCCTTCCTTCATTGATATAGGGATGTTTTGCTCCTGCATTCTTGAGTACATTTATTGCTGGGATGGAATTTCTTCGAGGTGGCAAATTGACTGAGATCAAGAATAAAATAAAGCAGGTATTGTATATGCTTTTTTTTTTTTTTTTTAAATGAAAAACAGCAAACATTGAAAGAACATTTCTAAAGAGTAAGGCATTTCCACTATTTGACATTAGATTTTTCTTCCAGTTAATATTTTATAGTATTCAGTTGTTTCCAGGTTTCTTATGCAGGTAGAAATCTTTTTGTCAATACGTCTTTATTGATGTGGGCAGAGTTGATGGTACAGAATAGTGGTTATATGCCTTGCATACAAATTTGATATTTACTCATCTTAGGAAATGTAGGCATTAAGCATTGTACATAACATCAGTGCTGTACAATAGTTTTTTTTCTTTGAAGGTTGCTGTTGATGACAGATATTTTTAATTTTCAGTAGTAAATCTTTAATCTTATATGTATATATAAATATTTCAATTCTTAAAATTATAAAAGTCTAGCAAACTAGTTGTTGGATTATCCGAAAATAATCTTATATATTAATAGCCAATGTATAATAGCTAGATAGCAAATACCATTGTTGTAAGTTCTGCAGAGACTGAAAGAGGGTTTTCTGTGTGTTGTAACCTAGGGAAGGTTACTGAACAGAATAATCAAACAAAGGTTGGTAATAAATGATAATACTTAGGACATGAACAACGCATAAGATTCGCCAGCGGTGTGTAGAAGTAGAAGTCAACTGCTAGAAGTGAGTCAAGTGAATTCCACAATGAATCTCCAACTGCAGACCAACATACAGTATTTACTACTGTATTTATGTAAATGGAGACATACCCATTATTGTCCATAGGTATGCTACAACACTGTAATAAACATGTGACAAAAGAAATTGTCTACAAGTTCAAAATGTGGCAAATCATCTGGTCGTAAATTTGACAGGTTAAATATGTAGTTTAAAAAAAGGTTTTGTGAAATGTGAATTTCAAGTTTTCCTACTTGAATGTGGCCCTTCCTCAGTAGTAGAAAGATAATATATATAAGTCTATGTACTCATATGTAAATGAGGCAAGAGAAAAGAAAATCTCTTAGTAATTGTATATCCAATTAAGACAAAAATGCATTGAATGGATAACTAATAAAGTGTAAATTTATGCATAAATCTGTTTTTGTCTGAGTGTGCACATAGAAGTATATAGGATTCTAATTATAAATCTGGAGAACTTAACATTATATTTTTCTTACCAGGCCCACTACCCCCACCTTCTGAAAATCTTGTGAACATATTTTAGTATGTCAATTCCTACTCAAAACATACTGGCAACAGGTTTGTGAATTATTGATGAACTTTTACAAATCCTTTTGCTTATATCTTATTTACATTTTTTAAAATAGAGTTATGCATAAGCTTACAATGTGGGACGTCGAGGGGGCAACACTCAAATCCTTTTGCTTATATCTTATTTATCTCTATTTTTTTTTTACAATAAATTTATACATAGGTTCATGAAGCAGGATGTATGTGGGACAACTACCCTCTCTCAAGGCAATCAAATTGTTTTCTTGCTCCTCCACCAAATGTTTGACATCTAAATTACGGAATAAACATTGCCAACTTATTCTTGTAGAAACACATTTCATGTTGTAAGGAGTTTAATCATCTAAATTAAATTAACATTAAATTATTAAATTAAATTAAATAATGTTAGAGATTTTGTTAGAATTTGCAAACAAGAACTTTTTTTTAAAAATAATTTGCTTTTGTAATTCTTTGTCCTTTTAGTACACATTTCTGTTGGTTGTAAGTCTTGCATATAAATTGTCAGAGCAGTTGCAATATATACGTGAAGATGAGTTCAAAATTTGATATTTGTCAATATCTACTCTCAGAAATTCAGATATATAGTGTCAAAGAAATTAATATAAATAAGAGAAGATAAGTTTGAAATTTGATATTTTTCATCCATTACTCTCAGAAATATATTACTCAGTAAGGTGACAAATATTGTTAAGAGCTACAGATAGGAAATTGTGGAGAGACATGATCATACTAAGTTATTCAAGTGAATGCAAAAATAAACCATTTGTCCTGTTATCATCACTGTCTGTAATTTTTTTCTTTTTTGCTTAGCTTTACTTGGTTACTCAAGCAAACCTAACCAACATCAGAAAAAGAAAAATAGATAAATATTCAACGCGCTATTGTGAATCCCATGATGACCTTTTCACCAGGAAGTGGAAACTAAAATGACATGGCAACCTCACCAGATCAAACTTACAAAAATGATTCAATCTGGTATGGAGGATGACAGACAGACAGATAAAGAAGGAAGTGAAAGGACAACATCAGAGAATTGTCAGATTTGAATATCAGTAAATCTCAAAGAGCACCAAGAGATAGGGGCAGACGGTAGGAGTTGTTCCATCATTAGTCATCCTAATGGTGTCCTAATAACCCTGCACTATGTTACAGGATAAGTGAAAAGAAAAGTTAGATTTATTGTCATTGAATTCAAATTTCAGCGCTTAGCATTTGTTAATATGTACTGACCATAATGTATAGAATAACATATCAACGGTAATTGTATATAGGTATTTCTGGTTGTCAGTATATTTTAGTGTATCTGTCTGTATTTCTGAGATGAGGTATTGTAATTATTTATATTATTTACATTGTTCGGGTTGTTGTCCTCATCATTATTGCCATATTCATGACGTTTCGACTGTTGTACACTCCAGCCTTCTTCAGGTGATTGGAATTTGGGGCTGAACTCTTTATTTTGTCCACTGTAGTAGATTGTTCTAGTTCCATGTGCCATGCCTCTTTCAGATGCCTCATTTATCTTCCTTTAACTCAACTCTCCATATTTTTGTTCACCACAGCAGTAGCCAGGTATTGAACTCACAACTCTTTGAGAAGCCACTGAATCCAACCAATGCTTTTATCCACCGCACTTCTTATCTTCTCCTCTTACATGTAATGACCTTGATTAATAATCTCTGCCTTGAGTGTCTCGGGGGCCTTGTATTGGTTGATTGTTTTAAAAGTAACCATTCAGACATAAGTTCTGAATGGTGACCTTTAAACCAATCAACAATGAAGAGAGGTGGTTTGTTTTCACAAATGGCACAAAAGTACCATGTTTCATGTCGTACTTTGTTTTTTGTATGAACTCTGCAGTGTCTGGTTGGACGTTGTTTCTTTTCAGTTGGTGGTATAGTTTCTAAATAATGCTGTGTTCCACCATTCATTCTTGGACATTTTGTGTCATTTGGTAGTTGATCACTAAGCAGGTATTTCTCCCTAAAAGTCAGGCTTGTCAGATGATCAACTCATAAAACTTTTTTGTTTAAGTTGGCTATTTATAAAGTTGACATTTGAAGTCAGATTTCATAATTAACTTCTGGCAGTCAATGTGTTAAGCATGGAGTACAGATACTGTCTGTAGAACAATGGGTACTGGGCACAAGAAAAATGGATAGATGGATAGTAATTCATTCAGTGATTTTGATCACTAATTATTAATTAAATATCATTGTAGATGGTTTAAATATTCTCTATTAATACTTATCTGTTCATTTTCCAGAAGATATTTTAATGGTCTGCTGTAAATAATTTTGGTGAAATCCTATCCCCTTGTCTCACTCCTTTTCCACTTTTTATCTGTGTTTTTGCCTAATTGAATTATTGTAGTATTGTTATTGTAAATATTCTCAATAACGCTTATATTGTTATTTTTTTTAATTCCCTGAGTTAAAGTCATGTGTTCTACAAATCTCAATGCCTTTTCATTGTTAATCAAAACCGAGCAATGTAGTTTGTTACATTGTTTTTTGTCCCAATCAGTTTATTTATTTCTTGTTGATAGCTGTGTCATAAAGTAAATATAGAAATGCAGACAAAATAAAAGAATACAAGAAATCCTTCAGGTCTGTTTTCAATGTAGTTTATGTAGTTATCTGTGCAGCAAAATTAACCCTTCCCACTTTGATTTCTATAGTGACACTGCTCATTAGAGCTAATTCTGGAACAAGGCTGAAGTCAGGATTTCTCTTTGGTAGCAAATCATGTGGGCTTCAGCAGTGTGAGTTTCACTTCCAGTTGGGTTTGTTATATTCACTTACACACAAATACCATTGGGAAAGGTATGAATCCATCTCTTCTCCACCCCCCAGCTATGGGTTAATTAGTAGAAGGCGTATCAGTAAAACATTATTTCCGAAACACTGTTACAATCTAAAAATATTTTCTGGTTGTAAATAATCTGCAAAGGGTTGATAAGCTGTAAAAAACAAATCAATCAGTAGTTATTTCATAAGACAACAGTTGCCAAGATCTTTATCTTCTTTTTTTCATAAAGTAGGATTAGATGGTCATTGAAAGACAAAATAGAAAAAAACTGATATTACAGGCTTTGCTCTTCAAAAGGACTTGTTCAAACTAATTATGATGGAATCATATTCAATATTGCCAAGCTTACTACAACTCTTGTAACCAAGCGACCCCCAAACAGAATGCTCTGTATTCCTTTGGAACTTGTTGGTATGCCCAAAAGAATGGCCTTATGGTCTGTGCAGAGCACAGCTTCAATATATCATCACCTAGGCCTACACCCTTTAGAGGTCAGTCCAGCTTCACCATCTGGTGAGAGCACAAAAGGATTCAATTTTGACCAAATGGTTCTATCATTATCTTGCATGATAAATGGATGCCTACAATAATCCTACAAACATGGAAACTCATTTGTCACCGACTTCAATGGGCGAGTCACCTTGCCTGAATGCTAGACATTTGCTTACCCAAACAAATCCTCTACTCAGAGCTGGCATCTGGCAAGAGACAATATGGATTCCCACATCGTCAATTCAAGGATAAGCACAAAAACAATTTTCTGAGGACAGGAAATCAATCCGGTCAATTGGGAGACGGAAGCTGCAGAAAGAACCAATTGAAGAAGAGCAGTCAATAAAAAAACATCCTTTAAAAACACCACAAGACAAATAGAAGAGAGGAAAAGAATCCAAAGAAAAGCCAGAACTCTCCATTCCCTGAAGCTTCCTACCCTACCTTGTAGTGGCTGTGGATGTCTTTTCAGACCCAATTTCACACAGAAGGAAATGTCACTGAACACACCGATACTTGACGAGTTCCACCAATCATGACAATCTCCATATTCAATATTTATCTCACAGAATTTCTCATAATACTCTATAAGTTATTTTTCTATGATTGTTTTATATATTAAATGGGCACCAATCATGCAACCTTTTACTCCATCTGTTATCCTTCCTTCTGGCTATGGATCCTACAAACCACTAATTTTTTTTCATATAAGCACTTGTATGGTATAGTTTTTGATTCATGTTGATCTCTTTCATTTGGTTAGATTTTGTGAACTTATCAATAATTATGGGATAAAAGTAGTATAATAAATGTACCCCCCTGTCCCATATTAGTTGATACACTTAATGCATGAAATGTCTATGCAAATGTAACAACAATGATGGACAGTGGTATATTTTAGTATAGCTATATTGCTTTTATGAATAATAAAACATTGAATATATTATTAAAAATTCACAGAAATAATAATCACATTTTATCATGCAAATGTTAAAAACAAAGTGTGATGATCTCCTCCCTTCATTGTAGCTTTTATTTTAGCTTGTTGATTCTTCATCTTCAGGTGGAAGTTTTCATACCAAACCCATGTTTAAAATAGTTTCAAAATGAACATTTAAAAGCCCTGCAACTGTTTTCAAGAGTGAAATTGCCAAGTCTTGCAGAACTAACCAAAAAATAATCATGAAAAATGTGTACACAATGGGCACAAAATAAACTGTTACAAGCAAAATAAATTTCAAAAAATTAATAATAAAACCTAAAAAAAAATCTTTGAGCCCAGCATTCCTGAAAAATTTTAATCCTTCTGCCTCAGCTGAGTCAAAATTGGCAAATAATTGGTATGTAATATTTCACAGTAGATATAAAAATAGTTACAAGTGTTTACCCACCATTCAACTGGTGGCTGGGCATTACGTCATTTTTTTCTGCCATTGGTAAAGTGGTGGTCAGGGCTCAAAGGGTTAAGCAGAGTCATTAACATATCCAACATTGGTCACTCAAATCTCTTTGCATAGTTGCTGTTTTTAACATTATAACTCTGAGAAGAGACATTAACACAATTTGTCTGAATTTCTGGGAGGAGGAGTTATTATTTATACTATTTATATTTGTCTTCATCTCTGTTGTTTTTATCACAAAGTTTCAGCTGCTGTACCTTCGGGCCTTCCTCGGGTGAATATTGATTCAGCAACTTACAAGGAATTCTAAACTGAACCCTTTATTTAATCTACAGAGTGCAAAGTGATTGAAGCTGAGATGCCAGGTCAAGACCAATGACATTGCAATTTGTAATAAACTCATAAAAACTCAAAATACAAAGTTTTCAAATATTAAACTGGCTATTTATGTAACTGGGTATGATTTATTAATCTATATCCTGCTGTTGTCAGTTTAAACTGATACCATATTTTTTTTTCCATATATTATGACTATTTGGCTAAAAGTTTGTATTTTCTTAGTTTCAGATTAAAATTTAGAAATTTACCCTTTTCAAAATTATAATGTAAATATACAGAGAAAAAAAAAGAGGGTATTAGTTTAAATTAGTGGATTACAAATTTGGTAGTATCCCCCACCTCCCTGGGGTTGGGGGTGGAAAGATTCAAGAGAAAAAAAATGGCCAGCCCAGCCCGGTGTAAGCGACACATCTGAACTATGACATACATACACACACACACACACACATTGTACATTGCCTTCACTTTACATGGGATGTGAGGGTTGTTTGGGAACCACTGGTTCAAACTCACAGTAGGAGGCTATGGGTTAAATAAACTTGTTTACTCATACTTACAAAAATGTCAGCCATATTAAGTAATTTTGTCATTGCTTTGGTTAAATTTTCTGCATTAGTAAACTAGTATTGTGCTTAAATTAGATGCTTTAAATCATCAAAAGTACACCCCTCCCCATTGAACCCAAAAGTAATATATTAGCAACCTGATCACCCCTACTTACACGATATATTCCTTTATCTTAACATGAGCTTATTCATGCTGCTGGGGTCAGCACTCTCCTCCATCTCACAATTGTGGTTCATGGTGTCATTCAAGGCAGAATAGTGCAACGGCTTGTTGGTTCCTTTTACACCAACTAAGGTTACCAGACTCCTCTCAAAAACTAAAAAGGCAAGACCTACACAGACATGGCAGCAGGTGGTTTGAATTCAGGTTTTCCTTCTCCTAGCTTGGTTGCCAACAAAGGCTATAGGACCCAAGCTGTCCTGTTATTTACCTGCAGCTGAGGTTAGCTTATTGGTGTTCAGTAATGTCCTGATGTTATGGTAATAGAAAACATCTAATTATTAAAAAGGAAAAATCAGTTTGCATGACCAAAGTACATTTGAAATGAATGCAAACTACCATGCAGCTACCCTCTAACATGACAACTGCCTTGTGTGCGTATATATATATATATATATATATATATATATATATATATATATATATATATATATATATATATATATATATTATATCTCAAGAGCGATATATTTTAGTATTATTTACATTACTGTTTGAAAGGAATTAACAAAAATTTTTTGCAATTATCTGGTCAAAAAATTTTTGCTGGTTTGGAGATCTTATGCATCCTTTAATTTTGAAGAGAAATAATTTTTCATTTTGATACTAATTATTATATCCAGTCTAAAATGTTTTATAAAATTGGAGAACTTATTTATCAGTCCACCATTCAGAGAATGGTAATCCAGATTCTTGAATTTTTTTCATAAATTTACTGAGATTCTTATCTTCCATGGTTAAATTATTCAAAACTTCCCTAAAAAAAAAAAAAAAACAAAAAAAAAACACACACACAGCAAGCTTAAAAGATATTACAAATATACATTTTCTAAACCCTTTTTTTTGGGGTGGGATAAAGTAGGCAGGTGTAATAGGCATCTACAAAAACTTAACTTTTATTAATGCTAAATAGCATGACCAGTTTTTGCAAGTGTATAAATAAATCATACATTATAGAGAAAAAGGTTAGTCAAAATGTAACATCAAAAGATGCAATGATGAATTTATTCAAAGAAAATTGCCATGTCGACTTTTCAAAGTTAAGCTCTTTGTATTATCTATTTAAAAGCATTTTCATTTTACAAATTACATAAACTAAGGGTGGAAAGTAACCAAAGTTTCCTTGCTGCCATACATGCTATCCACTTAAGTTTAGGTAATCTGAGCATAAAAGTCAATAGATTATGTATACCATAATTTGAACCAATTTTAAAATGAGTTGTCTTAATTTCTTTTTCAGGATTTTGTACCAGTTTTAATTACCAACTACAAAGTAAGTTATATCAGTTACTTATTCTGCTTAAAATAAACTTACTTTTCAATTAGGAAGTTTAAAAAAAAAAAAAAAAAAAAAAAAAAAAAAAAAATTATATATATATATATATATATATAGACCAAAAGTACCCCCTGATCCAAGCTAGGAACACCACATGTCCTTAAATTTTAAATGCTTAGGATGAGATTTGTTGCTTCAGACCAATGCCTTAATTTCAAATTTACCCATTTTTCTAATTTCAGATATGGCCAGCAGTGCAAATATGTAATTTTTACTTGGTCCCATTTCATCTCAGGTATGTTTAAAATGTTTGCAGTCCAAAAACTATCATTTTAAAATTTAATGAACATGTATTTACATTTGAGATTCTAATTTATGCATCATTTGCTTTTTAATAGGATTTTGGTGGTCAACATAACAGCCCTTGGTTGGAACACTTATTTAGCATGGATGTCAGAACAACAAGATTAAAGAAATTAAAAATTCAATAAAGTGGATTATTTAAAAAGTGATGTGTTTTTGGTTTTTACTTATCCAGATTCCAACAGCTTAGAATCAATATTGTAAGACTTGCTAGTTACCTCCTGTAAGCTAAGTAAGAAGGGAGTGCAAATCCTTTCATTGTACAAGAGGGGAGAAAGAAAAAAAAAAAAAAAGCAAGAATTAATACTTCAAGAAAGTTACAAAAGGAAACCTGGATTTAGATAGAAGAAAAAAGCAGAAAGAAATGTGGCAGAATTTCAGAGTAATTGATGGTTCAATGAAATGGAGCCACATTTTAAAAAAACCCATCCATAGGGAAGTCACAAAAAACAGAGAGAGTAGTTTATTTTAAAGCTTTTTTATTCTTTTAAGTCACTTACAATGACAGGCCCGTTTTTCTTGAAGTCCAGTCTTTCCGTCTGAATTCCTTGCGGTGAATTTTAGACCTAAGCAACCATACAGGCCATGAAAGCAGAAGCTGTAGGAGAGAATTATTGGTTGTTATATGTAGATTTGTATAAGTAAACTTAGTTTTGGGATTCCACTCGGGAACTGTAGTTAAGCTAACCTCTGCTAACCTTCACTTTTTCCCTTTCTCGGCCTTCTGGGCCTTTGCAGCAGACTTGGTTACTTTGGCAGAACCTTCTGCAAATTCCACACTCTTGATGACTCCTACAGCCACGGTTTGCCTCATGTCACGAACAGCAAATCTTCCCAATGGTGGGTATTCCGAGAAGGTCTCAACACACATTGGCTTGCTGGGCTTCAGTGTGACAATAGCAGCATCACCACTCTTGATAAATTTGGGAGCATCCTCAATCTTTTTACCAGAACGTCTGTCAATTTTCTCCTTGAGTTCAACGAATTTGCAGGCAATATGTGCAGTGTGGCAATCCAGAACTGGACTGTATCCAGGTTGAATCTGACCAGGGTGATTGATGACAATAACCTACAAGGAAAAAGCCAACTTTATAATAATTGACAAAGTCTAGCACAAAACAATAGTGATTTTTTACAGAGTATTTACCAGTGTAAGTGGTTTTATACATTTTATTTTTTTTGAAAGCTTTTCTGAGAAATTCACAAAATTGGAGAAAGGTGTACTTACCTGAGCTTCAAATTGTTTAGTCTCTTTGGGTGGGTTGTTCTTGCTGTCTCCGGCAACAAAACCACGGCGAAGATCTTTCACAGATACGTTCTTAACGTTGAACCCAACATTGTCGCCTGGCATAGCTTCACTCAGGGCTTCGTGATGCATTTCCACAGATTTTACCTCAGTTGACAGACAGGAGGGGGCAAATGTCACCACCATACTGGGTTTAAGGATACCAGTTTCAACTCTACCGACGGGCACAGTTCCAATACCTTGAAAAATGAAGAATTTTGGAGAATAGAATTAAGGTTTAAGACTTTAGATTCATTCTAAAATGGCTCAATTATCGGTAAATAATGGTTATTACCTGTGCTCTAATATCCCTTAAAATTTTTCCCAAATCAATTCCATGCAAGTGTACATGCTAAACTAATTAAGTTATGAATAAATTAAGTTTTGGATTTATCGACAAAAAAAAAAATCTTGAGTTGAGTCATTTGTTTCCCATTACTGCCATCATGAATCTTGATTCAATGCGGGATACCTACGCCGGCGTAATAAGAAAATTTGGCCTATTTACTACTTTTACAGACATTCCTTGCAGAGTGTCACTACGCACGAGTAACAAAACAATATTTACCCAATTATCTACGGTTGCAATATATATGTGTTTTTTTTTTTTTTTTAGATAAGTAAACTACTTACCTCCAATTTTGTAAACATCCTGTAATGGAAGACGAAGAGGTACGTCAACAGGACGTTGAGGAGGGATAATAGCATCCAAGGCATGGATCAGGGTTACTCCACTGGCTTCCCCTTCTTTCCGGCTGATACTCCATCCCTTATACCATGACATGTTGTTACTAGGTTCAATCATATTGTCGCCATGCCAACCTGACACAGGCACAAAAGGTACTGCCTTGGGATTGTAACCGATTTTCTTGATGTAGTTGCCGACTTCTTTCACAATTTCATCAAAGCGAGTATTGTTATATTCGGCTGTGTCCATCTTGTTAACAGCACAAATCATTTGTTTTACACCCAGAGTATAGGCAAGCAGAGCATGCTCGCGGGTCTGCCCATTCTTGGAAATACCAGCTTCAAACTCTCCAACACCAGCAGCCACAACCAAAACAGCACAGTCAGCCTTTAAAAGGACAAAAAATAAAAAGCGACTAAGTACCGGAAATTTATACATATATACACAATTATATGAAGTTTTGAATTTCATTTTTTAAACGTTCGTACCTGAGATGTGCCTGTAATCATGTTTTTGATGAAGTCTCTGTGTCCTGGGGCATCAATGATAGTCACGTAATACTTGCTGGTCTCAAATTTCCACAGGGAGATGTCGATGGTGATACCACGCTCACGCTCGGCTTTCAGTTTATCCAAGACCCAGGCATACTTGAAAGAACCTTTGCCCATCTGAAAAAATAAAGATACCTCGGAATTAAGAAGAGTAAAGCAAGAGAAGCTGAAATCTTATACAACATGGCGGCCATCGCCACGTCGCATGAGGCTCTTATCATAAAAGATATTCATTTATGAACCAAAGAAAAAAAATTAATCAAGATAACAGTAATATATTCATAAATAAGGTAAGAAATAAAATGAAGCGTACTTACCTCTTGGGCTTCCTTCTCGAACTTGTCGATTGTTCTTTTGTCGATGCCACCACATTTGTAGATCAGATGGCCAGTGGTGGTGGACTTGCCCGAATCTACGTGGCCAATGACGACGATGTTAATATGCTGTTTTTCCTTAGGCATGGTTGTCTTAGTCTTTAATCAAGTGAACGGAAGATGATCCTATGAAGGAAGATGAAGACGTGGTTAAAAACGGAAAGAATAAAAATCCGAAGCGGCAGGTCATCATTACGGGCTACTGTGGAGGAGGAAACCATTAACATTTTACATACAATATGGTAGACACTAGTAGTTTGCGTAGCTTTGAATCGACAGATTGAGAGTTCAAGACAGACAAAAGAACAATTAAACGTTTTAATTGTAGAATTAAAGACTAGATAGATTAATTTTAATCTTATACCATCGATTACCAGGACGGGAAAATTCAAACCAAGACTAGCTCAAGTATAGAACCGGTTTAATGTTCGTAAGAACGTATTCTGCAATATTTAATCTAAAATTAAACTATCAAAAATTTACGCATTAACATTTTTTCTAGAAAATACCACGTGGTCTTATTAGAGCAGCCATATTAATATGAAACGGGGGAAATTACGGCTATCAGGTTACGAAGACCTTCGACCAAGTACAATAAGATACAAAATTAAAGTTAAAATTCGATTAAGAGGAACAGTTAATACGAAATATGAGTAATCTAAAGAAATTTCATTGAGGAGGAAAGAAGGGAAAGTTTCTACAAAGAACCGGTAATGGCGGGGTGCGAGTAATGTCAGAAGTAAAAAAAAAAAAAAAAAAAAGAGGCTAAGTGGAATCTAAAAAAATATTATACGCCTAACAACAAACATCAACAAAAACTATATGAATAAATAATGTAGTGTATGGTTAATTGATTAAAACGAAAAAAACAAATGGATGGCATAAAAATTCTTAAATGCTAACTTTGATAATCTGCGAGAAATAATCGGCACCTACCTGTTCGTTGAGCTGGTTAAAGCAAAAAGGGAAGAGTGCTACTGATCACGTGATATATATACGACTGTAAAGGAGTAGGGAGGGTTGTACGATTGACGTCATAGATTTCTATCCCATGATACCATTTTAGAATTTCGGGAATTTCCGGTAAGAATATAAATTTTTCATATTTTTTGATAACTTTATATTTGACAATTATAAAATTGATTAAAATAAAATGTATTCGCTGATATTTATTAAAAAAGGTAAGATTTCTTTCTAAGTAGATTTTTTTCTTCTTCCGAGGAAGAGTTTTAGTTCGTATATATGCTTCCAAGATGGCGGCCATACTTATTAGTGGAGTACGTGGCGTATTAAGCAGTGTATGTCGCTACGAGGTAAGTTTAAAAAAAAAAAAAAATTCACCCCTCAATTTACCACGATATTTAGTTGATAATTTTAAACTAATATTTTTGCTGTCGTTTTTTATTGCAATGGATATTTATAAAAACATTTCACTGGATTTACTGAGGATTAACCTTGATCGTCAAGACAGAATTGTAAGAAAAGGTCGCTTCCCCCAAAAATTCTAAAAATCCAATGTCAAATAAACTTTGTGCACAAAGTAAAATTTTTAAAAAATTATTTAACGAAAAGAAATTGGTTTCGTAAAGTACCATCACAAGCAATAGTACTTAAATTTTAAAATATTGTTTTGCAAAAGTGACTTCAAAGCGTTAAAAAAAAGGTGAATCTTTCTAATTGCAATAATGACTTGTAAAATGATTTTATTAAAATCCAAACAACTTTTAAAAAAATGTCTTTCTCTTGGGAATTATATTTTCTGAAAACCAACAGGAAATGCTTTTATTCCGTAGCTATTCACAACGACTACTACTTTCATTTTCTCTCTTCAAAAAAGGTTGGATTTTTGGCGCATAATGAATATTTTAAAAACTTTGTTTCTACTCGAATTATCTTAAATTTTAACAAATGTAATAATTGTATAGATAACTAAATCGTTTTTACATTGGATTGTTAGTAGCAACTACTATACTATTTTATTAGTTATCAGATGTAAGATTTCAGGAGGAGAAAAACTCCGAATAAAAAGATAAATTGATATTTTTCTTTACGTTTCTTAATGGTAAAAATATTCACTGTTTCGGGGACTTTAAGTGTTAAAGATTAAAATTCTCGTCTATAATGTATATGCAGAAAAGGAATTTACCGAAATAGCGGGGGATAATGACGTCTTACATTGAGAGCTACACAAAAAAAATTACAATGACAAACAAAACAAATTGAGTTCTTAAAATTGAAGGTGAAATTTTACTTTTAACCTTATATTTTATAAAACTTTAAATCCAAACTAGAACGATAAATTACAGAAAAAGCGGCCATTCACGCCGGTACAAAAACACGTGGACTTCCATTCCTTGGTTTTAAAAGTCAGTCATGAATTTGAAACAAAATTGCTTATTTTTTTATTTTTATTTTTTCATTTTCTTTAAGTTTATTCATAATGAGTATTTATGGTATTATTGCTGGTTCTACAGTTAAAATTAAATTTACCCTCATGGTTTGTTCTTCCTTTACAATTTTTATGCTCATTTGCAACAGCTTGTGTAAAAAGCAAATGTGGGCATCTGTACTTTTAAGAGAGCACCTTGCCAATTTTAGGCCGTAGTCGTTGGATTTTTACAAGACTAAAATACAGACAATAGCATCTAAGGTTTGTTTTTTATTTTTTTATTTATTTATTTTTTTTTTTTTGTGCCAATGGAATTATTTTGGCTTGGACTATTTTCTTGAGTTTAAATGTTACTCTGTCGTAAGTCAGGACCTTTATGGATTTCAAGACCCTGTTGTAACATTAATCGTAAAGGTTTACTCACTGTTCCGTTAAGCATGGGTGGAATTTCTAGTCAGTCAGAATTGCAAAATGAAATATCTCTTGCAACCCAAACCTGCGAACAATATTTCTACCATTTTTAGATTAAAAACAAACAAAAAAAGGTGGATAGAATATTATGTTTGAATTGTTGCAAAGAGGGTTGATAATGGTGGAAAGAGTTCGTTGTTAGTCATAGTAAAAAAAAGTATTGATCCCCTACGGAAGTCAAAACAAAATACACCTGATTTCTTAAAATGTAAAAACACATTTGTAATCTGGAGCGCACCCCCCTACCCCTATCGATTAATTTTTTTTTTTTTTCACTGTTTTACATTTTAAGTCGCGTCATTTGAGCCTCTATTTTGGTTTGGGGGTCAACTTATTTTACACAATTAATCTACATCACAAATTTGATGCCTCTATTAACTTTAAATCTGGTTTTTATTATAAAATATGATCTGGAGTGGCTCATTCATAGTAATGCGAAATTATTTCATGTCAAAGTGCCTATTGTTACAACTTCACCTTGAATATTCTGTTCATTTGAATGAAAGGCTAAAAAAGTATTTAAAAGAAAATTCTTATTCATTTTAAAATGAAAGTAACCGTTACATAAGTTACTCTTTTCTTCGTAACTTATGATTGAGACTGCAAAAAAAAAATTAATTTTTTCCAAACTGAACAGTTAATTTTTTTTTTTTAAACAACCAATGGTTTTCATTAAAAAAAAAAATAGCTTTGCAATTTTCACTTCAAAATCATGCTGTACACTGTAGGGATACCGGTTGAAATGTCTTAAATATAACTTTTTTTAATTAAGGTAAAAGTATTGCCTAAATTGTGGAAAAATTGGCTGCTGGAACAAAATAAAATACTTATCAAAGTTAATCTTAAGGATCATTTTTCTAAAAGCTCTGACCGAAAAATAAATGTTGATCGGAAGTTTGCTATGACCACCAGAAATAAATTAGTTTTGAAAACAAAGTTTTATTTCGGATATGGAAAATCTTTTCCTAAGAGTACTTTATAAACGTTTTTAAAAGCTAACATTTTTCCTAAGAGTACTTTATAAACGTTTTTAAAAGCTAACATTTCTCAAGTTATGTTGTCATGGTCAATAAATAAAAAAAAAAAAAGCTTCCATTTTAAAATCAGTCCGGAGTGTGGTGAAAATCTGATGCTCCACTGTTAATATTTTCGTTTCCTAGGTTATCAGAAAACAATTGATCTTTTCTTTTTTTTTTTTTTTTAATACAAAGTTTTTAATTGATTTTTAGTTAAACGTTTCTTTTTCTCCCACCTCCTTGAGGGAAATCATTTTTACGCGTGTAAATAATCAAAGGGAGATAAATCCTTTTATTGAACGAAAAAATCCATTTCTGAGAAAACAGATTGCATTAATATTTTTAAATTGAAGATTTGCTTCTAATAACTTACATTCTCAAGAAGTTATTAAACGTAAATTTCAAAGTTAGTTGCACATTTAAAAATGGTGATGACTGGGGTGCGGGCAAATTCAATGCGTCATGGAAGAAAATAACTTTTAGATGTAACTTTGTATAAACTTCAACAATTGGGGGAAAAAAATACAATTTTTATGAATATAATTAAGTTTCATTTGCACCTTTCTAACTCCTTTACTGGAAAAAATGCCTTAAATTTGAAAAATAGCAAAATAAAGCCTTAAACTCATTACCAATGATTCAATTTAAATGTTAATTTCAAAGTATTATAAACTCTAACATTCAATTACATACTTAATTTCGAAAAGTTCCCTGACCCGACTGGCTTCTCAAAATAAGATTTTTTTTTTTTCTATTTTCTAAGGGCTTCTTGTTCTGGCCGATAATTTTTCACTCCCCTGAATGACAATCTTGTTTTCCTTGCTCTATTTTTCCACAAGAAGATTCTAGCAAAGTTCTTCGCCCAACATTTTTCGTTTCTCTTTCCAAACCTGTTGATTTTATTTTATTCTTCCTTGTGTCTCATTAAGAAAATCTGCTGTAGAAAGCCTCCCGCCACTAATATTCAAGTGTTCCTTTTAAAAATTCACTTGTGATTATCTTTTTACTCATACCAATATTGTACGGCTACAGTACACTCAACAGAACTATGACGACGAACAACATTATTGCATTTAGTCAGTGTTTCTATGTAATTTGGAGGAGGGGACGATACTTTTTATCATTGCGATGTTTCGCTGGCACCTCTTCCAAAACTTGAGACTATTCCCAGTATTTTCAAATTTATCTTCCAGTAAAGTTAAAACCTTTTAAAATTTAGGAACCCCCTGAAATTTCTTTTTTAAAAAAAATAGCGTATTGCAATAAAAAAAGAAATTGAAATATAAGTTAAGGTCATTACTCTTGGGCTTTTCTTCATATGTTTATCAAAAACCGTTCTTCAAAATTATTCTTAAGTGTTCAAAAAAAAAAAAAAACACATAATCCGATTGGACGCAATAATCCTTACATTTAAATTTTCTCCAGTTCTTAAATGGAATAAATTAAATTTATACACGTGTTGGACGTTTAGCTATCATTTCTTTGTTGCATGTGCGTGAAGTTACCTGTAAAATGCATTTTCGTGTTCAAATAAATTTAATGTGGTTGAATATAAAACCATATCATCCTTCTTTCAATATTCGGAATTTTAGCCACTGGACAGCTTTTATTCGAAGCATCCTAAAAATGAGCAAATTTTTTTTTTTTTTTTTTTAATCTTAATGCGTGTGTTTGAACCAAAACTTAAATATTAAAAATTAAAATACCGCGAATTTTTAAGATCACATGAATAGATTTTCTATAATTTTTTTTTTTTTTAAACATTTTCATTTCTCAGATTTAAATTCTTCATAGAGAAGTTTTAGTATGAAACTTGGGCATTCACATTATCGTTATTTGAAAAAGAAAAATGAATGAGGGATGCTGCTTATAAAAAGTAAGAAAGAAGCATTGGTATGCAATTACTTTGGAGGATTAAATTTTTACACTAGCATATAACTTGGAGACACCTCCAAAGATTCAGTAAAAAATGAGCATACAATGAAAGAAAGAAAAGAAAAAGCCTCAAACAAAATTTTATCAATCTTCAAGTGGAAAGACCAAAGGATTTTTATTAAATTATATTTTTTGATCCTTCTTACAACCTTAAAAACTTATTAAAATTTTTTTTATGCCAACAGGTGACCATAAATTAGTATGAAATTTTTTAGTGTCTTTTAGAA